GATGCAGGGTAAATAGACCTTTTAGTTACCACATTGGACAAAAAAAATTACACATTATAGAGACGGTAAGAAGAGGCAGTTTGATACAGACCAAGTCTGACATTAGTTAGGTCGTTTAAAACAAATTGATATGATTGATATTAAACAAACTAATTATAGTAGATTAACTATTCAAACGTGTACAGTAACTTACAATAACACGGGAATAATAAACGGAGCGCTCTCTCTCTCTCTCCTGACAGCCCGTCAGTATCATGCAGCTCGCGGATCCAGTAATGAGTGACCCGACAGTAAAACTAAACATATCTATAACTAGTTATGGTAGTTTGAGAGGTAATTAAAATAGCTACGTGTGATATTCTAACCTGAAGTGTGTGTTTTGTCCGCTCACCGCTGCATGTGATCATGCAGAGCTGCGTGTCGACTCGTCAGCAGCAGCTGATCTCTCTCTCCCGTCAGATTAGACTTTACTCGCGTTTATGTCCATATCGATCAGATCTAGCTAGTTCTAGCTAATGATATGATTACCTGCTTATTAAAAGACACCTAAACAATAAGCGTCGCTATGCAACCGGGTGAGGCCGCAAAGTATAGCGCAGCATTATGCATTTGTTTACATGCCCACCGGAACCCCGAGGCATTACCAACAGATCAACGCACAATCAACCCATACAGGACATCTCTTTCTCCACATTAAGTTTCAGACATTACAATTGACTCTTCTTGTCTGTCACATACTACTCTTGTCTGTTACATAAGTGGCACAACTGATGCGGTATTGCGCTAAGGGGAAATTATTTTGACCGGACATTTTTCTAACGGGAACTCTGGTATAAGGCAATATTTGACTAGTAAATACATTTATTTGGACTTTAACATACATTCAGAAATATGTTCTCTAAATAGGAATTCATCAAGTGCTGTTTTTTGCCTACTTTTGTAAATTCCAAGCCGGTCAGTTGGAGTTTCTGTGTATAGTTATAGGGTCAAATTGTTAATGATTTAGTTTCATAATTTATTTTACGGATAGATCCACAGACCCGCAAAAGGAGCACATCATTCATCAGTAGAAGTAAAACGTGAAAATCAACAAAAGCAAAAGCACAATCTTACATGAGGATCCAGTCCCAGGAATTTGCATAATCTTCAAAGATCTTAATGCCGACTTCATTGGCATTGAGCAGACTGGCGATACCTCTGTGAGGGAGCAACAAGGTGACATGGGAAAGAGTTGGAAAGAAAAGAGGCGACAAAAACATTATTGTGAATGAAGAGATAAAGAGAGACTGTGACAGCGTTGTGTTTCTGCCTCTGATCATTTATTTACAAAGGTTTCTCTTCAAAAACATTTTGACACTTTATTTATCTATAATGTGCTTATTATGAAACAAAGATGAATACAGTTTCAAAATGCTTTTGGTTTTTCAGCCTACTTGTTAGGTTATGAGGGTCTGGAGAAACACATTGTAAGTTTTATATCAAAGAGCCACAAAACTGAATTAGTGTGACTAAAGCGCTATGGATCAATAGTTCCTTCAGTATGGTGACAAATGGTTTAGCAGCATGTTACTGGATGTGATGTTACTGGCTGCTCATTTCTTTTCAGAGTTCAGGTAAGTCTTTGATAACCAATGAAAACATAATAAGTGAAATTCTTAACACAAAAGACTCAATATAAATAGTATTGTTTTAGAATATGTTTTACTTGTCACCTGAATATATTCTTATTTAAAAAACCCTAAATGATCTTGGACACTTTGCTTAAAAGGTAGGGTAGGTAAGAATGGAGAAACCAGCTCGAGTGCGCTAGAATTTGAAAGTACGCAGCTGAAAAAAATCTGCCCCTTCCTTCAGACTTCCTTACAGAGCACAGATGGAAGGCTGACAGGCAGGTAGGCCATCCAGTTACTTTAGCCGGGCCGGCTCAGATGATTGGTTGTTTTTTATACAGCACCACGGCTTCCATAGATGACATTTTTTATGTATTTATTGTCAAAGCATTTAATATATTGCTATCGGGATGTTAAGAGCATTCCATGGAATATAACAAAAAGTGTTTCTGAAGTGAATTACCTACCCCACCTTTAACCTTCCCCTGGGCAAAGACACTTAAAGACAAATGATGCAGCATAAAAGCAAACATATTTCTTGTCCAATTCTATCAGTGTACTCAAAGGACCTTGGGAATGGAGATCAGGAACAGACTTTGATGCCGAGATCTCCACTGGGAAATATAACTACATAAATCTCATCGTCAGAACATGACTTCTGCAGAATGTGACCGCAGACACGGTGCTCTATGAGATACATCTGTAAAGTACAGACAGAGGAGAGAAAGAGGACAAGCCAGCATTGCTATGGGACAAACAGAACAGTGAGAGCAGAGCTGAAAGCAACCATATATTAGAGAGCTCTAATTCAGCTCCCTAAAGGTCACCCTGTCTATAGACCCAAGTTTGGATCGTATCCAGCACTGTTATGTAAACCCAGCTTCATATCTAGATCAAGGAAATAAACCACCAGGGGGCACTACGTCACGCTCTATGTTATTAGACACTCAAAGTAGTAGATGACTGGATGTCTTTTCAGATATATGCCACAAAACCAGGGATGAGCACAGGTATGGGCTAATGTTGCCCGCGGAACGGCCCGTTTGCCCCATTTGGCTGACCTGCCCCTCTGGAGAGAGCGAGAGTTTGTTTTTATAATTTTTTTATGTGGCCGAATCAACATGATAAGCCCACAATTAGTATTGTAGTGTCTCGCTGCGGGAAACACACTTTGTCAGCGCTGTCATCTGCCGGTGCGTTAAAGACCACCTCAGTGTCGGATTTTGGAAACTTGATTTTGAGTTTTCTCATGGCAGTTAGGGTATAAGGGACAAACCAGGGGACATTACTTCCTCTTGATACCGTTGTTTATTTACAAAAAAACACCTAAATATAGCCTAATTGTTGTT